TGTTGCACAAGACCCGCTAAACGGCGCACCCCCCCGCCCTCCCTTTCAAAAACGTATAGCAGTCCGCACTCCTTGTTTATCTAATCCACTATAGTTTTCTTAATTTCCTCCGTTCAAAAATGCTCCTCTCTCAGATAGCACATTTGAATTTCGAATATGTCTCGACATTTCCTCATGTTTACCTTCTCAGATCATAAAATGCCATCCAGATCTTTTCGCAGCTTCGCCGACACTTTCCCAGCCTTGAATTTCAACATAGCAGCGGAAGCGTACTCTTATCTGAGCGGAGCAGCTTCTCGACTCTGCTCCGCATGACAAACATTCCGCAACTGTAGATTCATAACATGATAACGGTACAGTCGGCATAAATACCCATCGTTGCTCCTCCAAATCATCCAATCGGTTCACTGTACGCTGCTCATACTCTATTCTCTACCATTCCTCGTCCTACAACCAGATCCCAGACCTGCCAGTCCAGGGAATCGTCGTCGACCCCAGAGGTACCCACTACGGACCAGCAAGAAGGTGTCCCTCTACTCTTCGAACTGGACGCCCCCGCAGGCACTTCGCTCTCATTAGAACGAGTGGCGGAGATGCCCACTACGGATTCTGATGCACCTCCTGTTAACGGCCTGACCTTCGGGCAGCTCGCACCCAAAACCTTGAAAGTCTTTTCAGGCTCCGACGGCCAAGACTTCGAGTCTTGATTTAGGCGCTTTGAGGATATGGTGCGGATGGTTAACCCACCGCTACCAGAACAACTCAAGACCAACACATTGGTAGGGTACCTAGATGGGGAAGCCCGTGACCTAGTCGATGAAATGCCGGGAAAAGACAAGAACCAATACCGCAAGATAGTTGAGCACCTGCGCGATCATTTTGAGTCACCACACTTCCGAAGCCTGGCAAGACAGCAATTAAGTGACTGCAAGCAGGGACTTACTGAGTCGGCCCGCGAGTTCGCAGAGCGCATCAAGCAAATCATTAAGAAAGTAACGCGCAATCAACCTAGGCCATCCCAGAACGAAAGACTGCTCGATGAGTACCTAGATCGTCTCAGACCTGCCCTGCGCCTTCATGTCAAGGCGGCTAACCCACCATCTTTTGAGGACGCCGTAGTCAAGGCGATCACTTTTGAATCCCTCCTGGCCGACGCCGCAAACGCCATTACCATATTCCCTCCGGCGCAACCGCCACCTCCCGTAGTCCACGCAATACATACGCAACCACGCGTGGAGACAACGCCCAGCAATACTATTCAGGTGGACGCAACTTCGGCATGCGTAGGCCCTTGAGAAATTTCCAACCTAGAGGCATCTTCAATCGCAGAACCGCGGAACGCGCACCCAACTCTGACGTAACATGCTTTCGATGTGGGAGAGTAGGCCACATTCAAACTTTCTGCAGGTTTCAACTTCCTCCAGCGCACTTGGCACCACCGAAGCCCTTCTATCGTACCGCAGCTAAACAGCCAGCTCAAAGGGATTCTCGTCAGACGCGCAACCCATGGGGTAGCAGGCAGGCTCCCAACAATCAACAATGGGTGAGAAATACCCAAGAACCCTTCAGACATCAGGACATTTCTGCCCAACCCAATCTTCGCAGTCAACCTAGGGTCTTCGCCATGGAGTCAGCGGGACCTCAAGACGACCCGCAGATCCAGACGGATCAAGGGAATGCTCAGCAAAAAGATGCCCAAATTGCGGCTCTTCTCGAGAGAAGTAGCGCGTTGGCGGATCTCGCATTCGCAACCTGTGACCTGAACCTTCAAGATGTACCGCAAGATCATCCTTCGAAGAGTACCAGAAGTTCTTCGGCCCCAGTTAGCTGGGCTTATTCCTGTATGCTCGCTATAGCCGTCCTCTCTCAAATTTCGGACGCACACATTATGCCTCCTTTACTATGTTCTAATAAGGCACCGGTTAGTTATTGGAAAATCCCTACCGATATTAACTGTTCTCAAATTTTGCCATCTATATCCGCTAAAGTGAAACCGCTGACAATTAACGTATATAGGCCCAACACCGTGCGCTATAAAAGCATCGCCCACGTGTGCCGCGTGATAACTCAAACCGCGACATACTCGGTGAACTTTTTCGGAGCACGGTCTCAATCCGTAGTATCGCACACGGTATCCACCGACTCTTGTTGCCACATGGTTGCTCACAAGGCCTGCGCTCATGGCGACCTAATTACTGTGGGGACGGTCCTGAAAACTATGAACTTTCTAGAAATCGACTGGCCTTCAGCACCTTTTCAGTGCTGCACGGACTACTCCGTCTCGGTCTCCAACTGCATAGTTTTTCAGGCGTCAATTTTTGCCTACCGTGGTTCGGACTCCATCGAAAGCTCCATAGGACCCATGGACAACTGTAACTACCACCGCGGAGAGTGCAATATGCAATCAGGATCGGCAGTGATCTGGACCCCCGACAGCCAAGAGAGTTGTAGGTACATTCACGTTTCCTCAATGAAAGGCACTTTGGCAGGAAAGGTCTGGCTCAGCGTCTCTAAAGAGTTCGCACTTTCTTTCTCTCTTTCCGCTACTCCCATTTTTGATTGTGGTCACTCTCTTATCATTACCGATCAAGGTTATGCTATCGAGTCCCTTTCATATAATCGTTCTAAACGCCATGTAAATCTGTCTAGCCGCCAGCAGGTTGGTCTTGCTACGACCAACCAGCTGGCTGCACAACTATTGGCTGTTGAAGATGGCATGCAACAATCTATGAGCGAATCATTTCATCATGCCATCCTTGCTCTCTGCAAATCAATTAATTCTCTTAGTGCTTCCTTAACAGCTGCAATTTCTGCTAACCCTACAATAGCCATGAGAAATATCCTACAGCGATCAGACATTGAAGCCAATTCCCTAGTAAACAATATCGTGCGCACTAAATCATGCGCCAGCCTTTCACCTTCCATGTACTCGCTCTCGCCATTCAATAAGTCGTGCTTCTCTTTACCTTCTATCTCGGTTTTCCTTCCAGATAAAACCCACTGGAAGGCTTTTCTCGATCCTGTAACTAATATTATCTCTCACACTGCCAGTGCCGTGCCATGTTCAACTGATTTATTATTGGAATTTCCTTTCAACGATTCCGTTTCTCAGTATATGCCGTTGTCTGGTTCGTTTCGCATTATTCCTCGTTCTACCACAACCGTAATTGAGCACTCGTTTAACCGTCCTCAAAGTACACTACGTCCCGCTCTCACCCTTTTCCATAACTTGATCATCACAAACATCAGTGAGTTCGTTCCCGAACAACAGTTCACTGAGCTATGGGCCGCGTTTGAAGGGAACCAGGTAGCCTTGGAAGCCCACACCAGCGCAACAACTCACCACGACCCAACTAAGCCCAGTATCCTCTCGGCCCCATCCTTTCCCCTTAGTTTCGCTAACTTCCTCTTAACAACTATTTACAAACCATGGGTCACCCTTTGTTGCATAGTAGTTTCGGTCCAGTTTCTATCTCGCATTATCATATTATATATTTCGAGCCAAATTCCCTCGCATTTGTTCCAGTACGTCGCTCGTTTCTACAGGAAAAGGGGGCGGAGCCAACCCCAGCCAATGCCAGCGCCGCAAAACTACAGTACTCCCGCGGAGTCCGCAATCCCCTTAGAGCCAGCACCCTTTCCCACGGTTTACACCTTATCGCTAGCGACTCAATCCCTCTCCACACACATACGGATCACGATTAACGGAGTCAATGTATCGGCATTAATTGATACAGGATCCAGTATCACCTTGGCTGCGCAAAATCTTTGCGCAGCTTTGGGTATTTTCACCTTAGACCTTCCACAATCTGTCACGGCAATGGGTATGTCAGGTATCCACGTCCCAATGGCGGGATCCAAGAAAGTCCAACTAAGAATTGCCAATATCTGTCTCCCGCACACTCTGCATTTCACCAAGGGCTCGTGCGTTCCTAACATCCACTCAGCGTACGAAGTTATCTTGGGAAACGATGTCCTAGCTTTTCTACCAACTATGACCATTGACTACCAAAATCACCAGGTTTCTTTCGGTCAAGCTACCCTCCCCTTGGGTCAAGCGGTACGTCCCCCCCCCAACCGTTTCCCTTGATCCCCTTCCCGGTGTGCGTAAGCGATACCATGAAGCTTCAGCCAAACATGGAAACCTTAGTCACATGCACCCTAAATCACTGGGGAGCAACCACAGACTTCACGCTCAAGCAATGTATCTTTTTCAAAGGGACCTCTCTGTAGCTCCCGCCATAATCAATTCTAAACAACCAGCTCTACTGGTGTCTAATCCTACTAACCAACCTCAGATGCTGTATGCAGGTATGCACATAGCGAAGGCCACGCCATTGACCAAGGAATTCGCTTTGACCGATTACAGCGAGCCCTCGCGCACCCCCATAGCGGCTGCCTGTGTAGACTCATTTGACGTGGCCGATCCCTCTTATAGGATCAACCTCGATCAATGTGATGTCACGGAAACTCAGCGTAGCATACTCCGCAAGCTCCTAGACCGCTACGCCGACGTCTTCTCTCGTCATCAATACGATATTGAAAGCTGCACGGCGGAAAAAGTCCACATATATACCACGGATGACCCACCCGCCAAAATCCGTCCGTATAGAGTACCCGTCAAGTATCGCGAGGAAATTCAGAAACACATCAACCTACTCCTGAAAGCAGGGGTTATGAAAGAATCGCAGACCCATTGGGTCCACAATTTAGTTGTCGTTCGCAAAAAGGATAACACCCTCCAGGTATGCCTCGACATGAGACGTACAATCAACGAAGTAACCTAAAACACTTCCAGACCCGTCTCCTATCCCACGTATTGACGATGTCCTCGAGAAGATCGGCGGTAACAGCTTCTATACTACATTGGATCTCGCTAGTGGTTATTTGCAACTCCCACTGGATGAAGAGAGCAGCTATAAATGCGGGGTCATTACCGAGAATAAGATCTACCAAATGACCCACCTTCCCTTTGGCCTGAAGTCAGCCGGTAGCTACTTCGCACGCGTAATGTCCAAGGTCTTAGGTGGCTTAGAGGGCAATGTACTCACCTACACAGATGACATCCTTGTTTATAACAAACGTTTCGAGTCTCACATTACATCCCTCGAACAGGTTCCATTACGTCTTCGCCAATTCAACCTAAAAGCATCACCCAAAAAGTGCGTTTTCGCCAGACGGCAGATCACTTTCCTGGGGCACCTCATTAACAAGGACTCATATTCACCCGCCGAAGCCAACACAAGAGCGGTTCGCGAGTTCCCTACCCCCACCAACACGAAGGAGGTGAAACGGTTTTTAGGTATGGTCGGGTTTTTCCACAAATTCATCCCCAATTTTGCGACCATAGCAGAACCCCTCACCAGGTTAACACGTAGAAGCAACAAATTCCAATGGTTAGAGCCTCAAGAAGCCGCGTTTCGCGAGCTACGCGATGCTCTAATCAATAAACCCATCTTAGGTTATCCAGACTACAACAAACCTTTTCACATCTTCACGGACGCCAGCTCTGTTGCGCAAGCAGGCGCTCTTATGCAAGAATAGCAACCCGGCTCCAACAAGTTCTACGCCATAGCCTACTGTAGCCGCACGTTGACGGAAACAGAACGCCGATGGCCAGCCGTTCAAATAGAATTAGGTGCCATTATTTACGCCCTACGCCAGTTCAAACCCTACATCTGCATGACCCAAGTCACACTTCACAGCGACCATAAGCCATTAACCTTCTTTCTAAACAAAAGCAAAACACACGACAACCTAGCGCGTTGGCTCATCGAACTGCAAAGCTACAACATCAAGGTCGTCCACATTAAGGGAACCAAAAACACCTCAGCAGACGCGTTATCCCGGGTTCACGAGGACCAAAACACCGTGGCCGTGCCAGACCAGGGATTGCAGGACATAATAGACTTCCCACTGAGTCTTCAAGTCGAAGCTAAGCTAACTGAGCCACCTGCCCCCGCCAGGGCTAACCGTGCCGTGTTCGTTCGCGGTAGTCCAGAGCTCATAGACTTCCGTCAAGAACAACAACGGGACAATTTCCTTCATCTAGTACGGCTCGTCAAGACCGACCAGCCCTTACCACCTTCTATAAGCGACGAGCTTCGGTCTAAAGCGACGGCAATAGAGCTTCACACTCATCTAAACATCGATGGGTGTGTGTACTACAAACCCCCCAAGCTCGGCGGTACCCAGTCTTTATTGCTGGTATCCCAAAAATTTTTCCATTTACTCTTCGACGCCCATCACAGTAGCGCCCTCTCTGGAGGACATACAAGTTGGAAAAAAACCCTGGCTAGACTCCTGCGCAAATACTACTGGCCAACAATCCATTCCGACGTCCGTAAATGGTCTGAGGAATGCCTCACCTGCCAAATGCGGCGTAATCTCAAACCCGCTTTCTGCGAACGCTTGATCCCTGTACATAGTGAAGCGGTATTTGCAAAGGTTGGTCTCGATCTTGCGGCCCATTAAAAACTACGGAACGAGGAAATAAGTACATTCTCAACATGGTATGCTGGTTCACACGATACGTTATCTCCATCCCACTACCAGACGCACGTGCAAATACCATCGCGCATGCCCTTCTCTCTGACTGCGTTCTCAAGTACGGCACTAAGTCTGAGCTTGTCTCGGACCAGGCATCAAGCTTCACATCCCTTTTCTACCAGGAATTTTGCAACCTCCTTCATATTCAGCATAGATTTGCAACCCCTTACCCTTCAATGGGGAACGGGGCAACAGAACGCACATTCCGCACATTCCAATCTATGCTCTCTAAGTTCATCAACTTAAAACAGGAAGACTGGGATTTATTCGTTCCTTGCGTAACGTTCTGCTATAATACATCTGTTCACGAAGCAACGGGCGAAACACCCTTTTTCCTGATGTTCGGGAGGGACCCGGTGTTCACCATCGACCGCATCTTACTCCCGCAAACCAGACCTCAGATACCCGGTCCATCCGAAACCGACGAGTATAGAGCGCAACTCGTGTCCGCACTCCACTTGGCATGGAAGCAAGCCGCGGAACATGCACGCACCTACAAACAATCGATGGCAGCGCAGTACGACAAAGCGGCGCGTCCATCCCAGATCAAAGCAGGAGACCGTGTGTTCTTCCGCAACTACACTAGCAAACAGGGACTTGCAAGAAAACTCTGCTTCCCATGGATCGGACAATTCCGAGTCCTTAGCGTCGACCCACCCCACGCTACTATATTGAGTATAACATCTCCGCAGTCCGAACCTCGTCGGGTTCACCTCAACCAAGTCAAAAAGGTGATCGACTACAGCGAACCCGCATCAACACTTCCTACTATCCCAGAAGAGGAGTCCTTTCTCAAGGCATTTCCTACCGACGATATATCAGGCCATCAGCATGATTCGACGCCGACTCTACCTGCGACCCCACCGCAGGCTCTAGAGGGTCCTACACCTCCCATACGATATAACTTACGGCCGCGGAATCACGACAGGTAGCTTCTTAACCTCTCTAGATCATATTAACCTCTATTTACCTACCTTCAGCAACTTTTCAATGTCAAAGTACCCTAGCACGCCATATTATTGTGCTTCCTGCGTCACATACTATATTATATTAACCTATCGCTCCACTAATCATTTCCAGTTATTCGATTTCGGCTACTCCACCGTGATCTCATCTCTCTCTCGCTTACCGCCTTCAACTTTAACACGTGCTTCGCTGTCTCGTAACATATTTCAAACACACTTGATTTTCGATATTCACACCTTGCAGGTAATATGTCTGGTTCACCCGCCAGAGACACACCCCGTCTTGAGAATATTGATACTCTCGATTCCCAGAGCGTCACCTCTTCACAGGGACCCTCGGTCATAACAGTTTCAGTCAATACTAGCCTACAATGCGGTATCTCCTTTTACTGGCATCTTCGTTGACAGCATGAATCATTAACCGTTTATATGACAATGTCTAATACATTTTAGATGACCGTCGAACCCTGGAGCAGTCCGATATCGACGATCTTATGGATCAACTGCCGCTCGAAGAGGCCTTCCAGCTCCTGTATGGCGAAGAAGAAACGCCGACTACCGAAGACGAGCGCCCATGTCAAGCTTCGTCGCAACCTAATCAGCCCATTACCTCCCCGAAGGAATCGGCAACCAGTAACAATAACAATGCTGGAAACAGCACAACATCGCAACAAAAGAGTGACCCACGAACACCGCGCCAGCCGTATCCCGAAACTGTCATGGAGTCTACCCGCCAGTACGGCCAATCCGTTATCTCACAGGAAACTGCTTTGGGGGATGTACCCACGTCAAGCCACCCACGTAAACGTCCTTTCAAAGTTCCCTTGGAAGAGGAAGGAATTGAGTTTGAAACCGAGCAGTTCGTTAACCACCCATGGAGTCACCTTCTGGTATCTAAAATACCCTATCACCCTATTACGATCCCGAGTTACCCGCTTCAAAATTTGAGCGCATCACCGCAGCAGGTTATAGCCGGCTGTCACCGTTCATCGAGCATAGCGGCGCCTACACCTCCAAAGGTCGCCCGGCGTCCATCCTGGA